GAGAGAGAGAGAGAGAGAGGTGAGAGACGAGAGGCGAGATGAGAACGAGACGAGACGAGACCAGATCAGCCTGTTCTTGTCCAGCATAGAATGGAGAGCATTTCGTAGAGGAAGGATCTTCTATTTCTAAACTAAAAAATTTCTAGCAGGTTTCTCGTTGAGACGGTTAATAATTAAAACATTTGTCTTCGTCTTTTTCTTTCCTTTTTGGATCTAAGTTGAGCCTTTTTACCGTTATCACTACCATGAATTTTAATACTTGTACCCTTTTCTGTCTCCAGACATGGCGCCAGTCCCAGCCGTCCCTCGGCCAAGGTCATGGCAGCATCAGCATCAGAAACCGCGCACGCTCACTGCGCATACTCAGCGGATCCCTTCCTACAGTGATACCGGCACAAGGAACGCCCACAAACGCACGCAGGGCAGAGGGGCGGGCCAGGGTGCTGCTAAAACGACAGGAAGACGGCTCTCTGGGCATGGGCATACAAGGCGGGAAAGAGTACAACTCTCCCATCTCGGTCTACTCTGTGGAGCCAGGGAGTCAGGGCGACGTTCAGGTGAATTGATTATATTATATATTATTGCTCTAACGTTGTGACCGACGTATTGTTAATGGGAAAGTTATTATGCTTTTTACATTATTTTATTAGGAGAGTTCTGAATGCATGGTCTTTAATGAGGGCCATCTTTTCAGACTTCTCAATATTAATGTACTTGTCATATTATTATCTCGAACTTCTGGAAAAACATAGGAAAAGCTAGCTCAAGATCATAGCGAAAAATGGGCAGTGTCTGTCGTGGTCCTGTTGGTGTTATGCTCATTTTTGGAGAAAGCACTAATAATTTTATAATCTCTTCTCTTACCTATCCTCGGTGGAAAGTTCCCTTGGCTAAATTTAGAATGGTGTCATCGTGTGAGGGGGCGGGGGGGTGGGGGTAGCAGACTTGCTCTGTGCTACCTGAAAGGGGGTCACAATTTTGTCTTATTAGCTTTATTTTGTTTTGTTTTCTGTGTGTTTTCTTGTGAGGCGGTTGTTGGTTTCTTTGTTTTTGTTTGTTTGCTTTCTTTTCTTTAGTTGTAATTGCTTTTGTTTCGGTTGGGCTGTTTGTTTGTTTGGGTTTTTGTTGTTGATGGTTTGTTTTGTTGTTGTTGGTTGGGGGGGGGGAGGGGTTTGCTTGTTAGTTTATTTGTTTGATTAGTTCGTTTGTTGTTGGTGGGGTTGGGTTTTGTTTTTTGGGGGTTTTTTATGGGGGGGGGTTGTGGTGCATCCTGTTTTTGCTACTGCTTAAGGACGTTACGGTCCCTTCAGTTACGGAGAAAAAACTACTTTTGCTGCTATTTGCAAACAAATACGGGGGATTTCTTTAACGGCATACGTGCAGCAGAGCTACCAGTTATCTTACTTTTAATTTTCTCACTTGTGCTTATCGTTATTCGCAGGGTCTTCGAGTTGGGGACGAAATCCTGGATGTGAACGGCACCGACTTTAGCGACATCACTCACGCAGAGGCCGTGACGCTGATCCGGAACGCTTGGAACGTCATCCTAACAGTTCATCGTTCCGGGTCAAGTAATAATGACTTGATTGATGGCGGTGAGTGAGTGAGTGAGTGAGTGAGTGAGTGAGTGAGTGAGTGAGTGAGTGAGTG